GTGTTTGATAATTTCGTCCTCTTAAACTCACATTTCTCTGGATTTAAACCCAACAGGCCTCAATACACCTATGTAGATATTGCACCAAAAACCAGACATTTGCAGCTAGAACAGTCATTTACCACATTAGCAATTTATAGAGTGTATTTCTTTAAAGTTAAGAGTAGTTTAAAGTTATCTTCATTGAAAAGTACAGTGCTTTTCCTTCAAAAATAAGGACATTTCAATGTGACCCCAAACTTTTGAACAGTAGTGTATGCTTAGCAAACATGGGATTATGACGTTCTACCTTAGAGGGTGAAGCTGGAAAGAAATCCTTGATGCTGCGTTTGGGTATCGGACTCAGTTCAGCCTCTTTCCCTTTCCCAGTTCTCCCTCCTTTAGTCTTATCTGTGGCCTTCAGGCTCCTCTCCGCCGTGCTGCAGGCTGTTCCATTGGTGCTCAGAGAGAAGTTCAGGGTGAACGGGTGGCTCTGGTTAACCAGGTACAGGATGCCTTCATGGCTGAGTTTACCCGACTGACCTCGACCCAGCTTCTCATTGTTCAGGAAGCTGGGATTGGGCCCGAGCTGAAAGAAAACACGACACACGTGGATGTTGATGTGAACAGACAACTAAATGGCTGCAAGATAAGTAGGTTGGATGAAAGACAAAGTGTGCTGAACTCAGCTTTTAGCATGAAATAAAAACACAAGCCTGTTTAAAGGTTATGTTGCATAACCTGGGAGAGGAGTCACCTTAATCACACCTAACACATGTCTGGGCTGATTTGTTTCCATACCTGAGTAATAACCACATCCTGCTCCACATAACAAGCCACCACCTTCACTGAAACAAACACAGGAGATGTTAAAATGGATGTTGGCATTATTTTAATCAAGCTTTATTAGAAATGATAGAAAAACGAAGTTTCTGCAATATGGCAGCTATTCTAGTAAATATTTAGGTAGAAATGTTATTTAAGAGCTCTGCTGACATTATTTACTTTTAGCTCAGTTTGTTTATAGAGCTTATATCAGTTAGAAGCTGTTTACTGAACCCAGGTGAATGAAATATTTCCAGGCTCAGCTACTGATTTTCTCATTTTCCTACTGATTTGTCAGTATTTCAACCATAGTTACCACAAATCTTCAGTTCTAAAATTCTACACATTCCAGGTATAATTTTCTGAACATTATCTTAGATTTTTGATACCTAAACTCAAAATAGTTGATGTTGACAGTTGATGTGTTTATAATTTGGATTTAGAAAATCTGTATAAATTCCCAAACTGCTTAAAAGATCCAATTGACTCTTTACACCAAGAAAACTGCAAAACTTTCAATAGAGTGAGGCAACTGTCAATAATGACATATACATGATGTCGGAAGTTGCATATGAAGGTCAGTTATGTAAAAATAAATGCAAGATTTGTGATTTTTTTCTTGTCATCATCTCATACTGTAGATATGTGTGACATCAGATAATTTCCTTAGAAATTAGGAATTCAAGTTGAAAAGTTACGACTTTATGACAAAACAAGTCACAGGTTTACAAATACTAGTCATAAATTTGTACCTGTAGATTTGTGGTTCATACTCGTAAACCTGTGAATCATATTAGTGAATTTGTGGATTTATGATTTGTACTTGTATTGTCACAAAGGTATAACTTTTTAACTTCTATTCTCAAAGATGAAGATGTGATGTCACATTTACAAATGAAATGGCGAGAAGAAAGCAGAAATCCTGCATGTATTTACATGAGTGACATACGTGCAATGGAAAAAAAACATGACTGTTAGGATGCAGCATTTGTTGGCTGAAATATTTTAAGATGCCATATGTTAACCTGTGACACCAGCCCCCAGTATACCTATGACCTATAACACCAGTCGGCCTCGACAGACGGCCGCTCACGCTCAGCATGGTTCTGCTGGAGATTTCTTCCTGTTAAAAGGGAGTTTTTCCTCTCCACTGTCGCTACAAGCATGATTAGTGTGAGGGATTGCATTTGAGTCAACGATTCGATGCAATCAACTGGTTTTCCTTAGAAAACTGAATCAATTTGACGGATGATCTGGTGAACTGTAAAGTGCTTTGAGATGACGTGTGTAGTGAATTGGCGCTATATATATATATATATATATATATATATATATATATATATATATATATATATATATATATATATATATATATATATATATATATATACTGAATTGAATTAATATGTTAAAGTTCTGCTTTGTTCTATACTTGGACACTAGGATGGACTTTTAGTGTCCTTTATGCATAAATCTGATGTAGAACTTGGGGAGGAGATCACAGAGCTCAGAGGCATTGTTTAGATAAACAAGGTGATTTATAGCTGTGAATATTATCATGGCTGCATTTAACTAAAGAAAATGCAATATGAAGAAATGTATTTTATTTAACCCAAATCAAATCAAATAAATTTCTTGTCCATGGAGTTCATGGCCTGTCCAACTTTCATAATGAGTATGAAAAAACAACAAAGAAATAACCCATAAAACTCGCTTTCATGCAGTATATACTGAAACAAAGTCGCTTTTTTTAAGACAATAATAAGCTTCACACATTTCCAAGTGTAAACCTAGAAAATTAGCTAAATGATCAGGACACATGATAATATGGGACAACATTGTGCTTTTTGCAATAACTGCAAGGTTTAGCAGTGCAGTTATTGCCTCACCCTGGTGCCTGGAGCATTTCTTGTCGGTGACTCCGGTGTCCGGACCGCGGCCCAGAATCACTGCCCGTCCGTCCAGCAGTGGAATACGGATCCCAGAGTGTCCAACCAAAGAGCACGACATTTTACCACCCGCTGGTAGCTACTTTCCCAACTACTTTGGAAAAAAATACGTTATTTTTTTTTTAACGCCAAGTCAGGTTAAATAAGTGTGATCTATTCAAAGATTTGAACAAAATAAATAAAGAAAAACCTTTTCTTGTTTTTGGTTTGTTAACAGTTTATGGAATAAATGGTATTTCTCTGGTTGTGTTGAACTCGCGACCCTCATCTGAAATAAGCTCGTGTAGAAACAAAGTGTTACGCTTTAGTTGTTCCGCAATAACTGATAATGCGATTTTACTGATTTACTGCCAACTGTCCCTCTATGGCGTCGTCAAGTCTCTTAAAATATTTATATTTGAGTCATGGTCATAGCTAAAACTGTTTGGGTGCTGTATTGAAGTTTCTGAATTTTAAGTCCACTCAGTCAGCGGCGGAACAAATTTAAAATCAAGTCAAACGTCACAGATCCATCTGGAGCAGAACTGAATGAGCAAAACAACCGTACATGTTTGAAGATTTTATCAGTAAAGGCAGTCTTAATTAATATTTTTTATTCATCAAATATAGTCATTACATGAACTGAGCAGTGTTTTTTCACTCTAATTACATTAGGGCTGAAGTAATTAATTATGATTGAAATAATCGTCAACCAACTGTGATTTGAATACACTTCTTACATCAGCAATTAGAAAACAAACTACTGTAGAGAGAGAGATAGTGAAACCAAACTGTACTATATATATATATATATATATATATATATATATATATATATATATATATATATATATATATATATATATATATATATATATATATATATATATACACATATATATATACAGAGGTGTCAAGCAACAAAGTACAAATACTTCATTACTGTACTTATGTACACTTTTTAAATATCTATACTTCACTCCATAATTTATTTTTCTTCCTATTTCTGACTTCTACTCATTACATTTTCACACAAGTATCTGTACTTTCTATTCCTTAAATTGTTAAAACAAACATTACTCGTTACTCTTGGCTTCGGTTTAATGTTTGCAAATATTTATTTCACGTCATGTGCTCCATCCAATGCAATGCAGATAATTGGCTCCATCCACATCTAGTGAAAACTAGTCTAATTGGATGAGTCATATAACACAAACACTCATTGGTTAGCTAAAGGAAATAATCAGAAGCAAGCAGGTGTTCTTCAAACTGCAAACATCAATTGTCTATGCCATGCTACAATGTCGGATTCAAAAAAAGATGTTGAAGTGTCTGAAAGGTCTGACACAGGCGAGAGCGTATCGAGAGATGGAGACCAACAAGACTCTCTCATCCTTGGCCCTATCTCAAAAAACTTTTTGGAATAGTCGAAAAATTGAGCTTTCAATTCAATTAATTCATATTGTGGCATATTTGGCTGTTTTCTTTTTAAAGGTTACTTTATACTTTAAGTAGTTTTTGGAACACATGCTTTTTCACTTTTACTTGAGTAAAGAGGTTAAGCTGATACTTCAGCTTTTACCTTGAGGTGACCACCTCCTAAAGCTCATCAAGAGGATGCCAAGAGGAGTGGGTGAAGCAGTAATTAAACAAAAGGTGGCTACTTTGAAGAACCTAGAAAAAAAGACATATTTTCAGTTGTTTCACACTTTTCTGTTAAGTATATAATTCCGCATGTGTTAATTCATTGATTTAATGATAGTCATGAAAATATATATATATATATATATATATATATATATATATATATATATATATATATATATATATATATATATATATATATATATATATATAGTATTGCTTTCTGAATCAATCTACTATTAGAAAAAAGTATTTATAGATTATTTCAATTTAGAGATTTATAGACAGCACAATCGTGATGGTATTCATTAAATAGCTTTAGGCCTCTTTTTTTTTTTTCTTAAATAACAATAATGTGCATATTAGATTGTTAGATTGGATCTCTACTAACAATTCCTCAAAATGGTTCAGGTTTCTCTTCTTTCTTTTACAAGCCAAACATTGCTGTGTTGTTATCGGCCTTAAATGTATGCTATAACCAACATGCTAAGCAGGTTTCTCTGGATATTTTGATCAGTGTGCTTGAACAGGGAAATCGGTGCACACAGCTGTTATTTTCCATCTTCTGTGTTTACTACCTGATGTTCCTCCCCTTGAAACATTTACCTACGGTATGAACAGTCACTCCCTACTCAGCTGTCATTTACATTTTGCTTCTCTGCTGATAGTTGACCATTTGTGAAGCACCTGTTCAGTGCAGAAGGGCTCCAACTTCAGCTCTCAGGTATGCAGATTGTGAAATGAAACAGCAAACTCATATTTCAAAATGTATTCTTATTGTGTTACATGTTTTAACTTAATTGTTACAAGTTCCTATTATATGGATTACATTTTAATCTGTTTTGCTTGTATAGGTCTGACAGCCTGATACTCATCAACTGAAGAGCAGCTGTTGAAATCTTTAACTGAAAACACTTATAGAAATCCTGCAGTTCATTTTCTTCAAAAATCTTTCAGATATTACTAAACTACATCATGTCAAACCAGAGCATCCAAAACGACCATGAGAAGGCCTACATGTCTCTGACCAAAGGTTTGAAAGAGCTGGACTTCCGTGGCCCCTATGTTCCCAGCGACCTGTTGCTGATTGGAGACCATGCCTTTCCTTTAGCCATGAACAGTAAAGGTCAGGTCCTGATGGCTGCCTCTCTGTATGGTTGTGGAAGGATTGTTGCTCTGGGTCATGAGGCCTACCTGACAGCCTTTCCTGCTCTGGTGGAGAACGCCCTGATCTGGCTGAGGGGCGACGGGTCAAGCAACCCCACTGTAGCTGTGCATAAAAATGTAAAGGCGCTTAGCGATAACCTCAGCAAGTCAACCTTCCAAGTAGAAGTGGTCGGCAGCTTTAGCAGGAATCTGCAGTCTGGTGTTTACGTGACTGACGTATACAACGTCGGTGCTGACCCAAAAGACTTGGTGGACTTTCTGAAAGCAGGAGGAGGGGTACTGATAGCGGGTCAGGCATGGAGCTGGGCTGCAGATCACCCTAAGGAGGATACATTACATCACTTTGATGGAAACAAGGTGTCAGGAGTTGCAGGGATTTACTTTTCCAAGAATCCGGGTGAAGTTGAACACCTCCCAGTCTACCCACAGATCCCAGCCTCCTGGATGGCTGTAACGTGAGCATATACTCTACTTCTTCTATTTTGTTCTTTATTTAAACTACACTTCTTTTTTATCATTTAGGTTGCACAGAAGGTATGAAAGAGGAACTGATTTTTTAATATATTTTTTCATCATTGTGGAAGTGTAGACATTTAACATATATTGGCTTTACTTATCCAAAATAGTTAGGTTATCCTGACCTATTTTCTATAGTTATGCTGATTTATGTTTTGGCTGCTGGAGGACATACGGAGCACTTTTCATCATTCTTCTTCCCTCTATCTTTATTATCCTGTTCTGTCGCATTTGTTAAGTTCCACCCATAACTTTATGTTCTTGTTATTTTAGCCTCTAACTTTATACACTCTGTGCTCTTTCTTTTCATAATAGCTTTATCTGGTCTGATCTTGTTTGAGTGTAATTCCATTCATGCTGGAGCTACGGCTGTTGTTTTGGTGTAGTCCTGTTTATTTTACAGTGACAAACCATATGTGCCCTCTTTCATTCATTGACATGGATTCTGGCTGGGAACTCGTCTGCCTGGCCGTGTCTTTCCTGGGTGGGGCCACCTGTACATCTAGTTGACAGTTGCCTTTTTTATCTCTGCTTCTTCTTTTTTGTCTGCTTCTATTCCATTGAATCACAGTTGACCACTGCAGAACTCCTTTCACACTGACACTGGTTCTGCTGAAGGTTTCTTCCTGTTAAAGGGAGTTTTTCATCTGTTACTGCATGCCTGACTGGTATAAGGGAAGAGTCATTGAAAAAAATGCAAGCAAAAATTCTCACCACAAGCTAATTCAGGAGTAGTGTGTCTTGCAAGTCATTGAATAGTGCAATAAACTGGTTTCCCCTGACAGAAACTTTTAGCCATTTTGAATATGGTATCTCTGTCAGGTGCTTTGAGATGACATGTGTTATGATTTGACGCTATATAAACTAAATCAAAATTAATATTTTGAAAATATTAGTCATGAAATCAGACAAATCTTTTTTTTAAGTCTCCCAACTCCAAAATTAAAAAATGTTATTTAGTTGTCCATCACTTATTAATCTGTAATATACAGTATTTAACAAACATTTAGAATGAATAGTTTTTTTTCACTGGTGCCACCTTTCTGAATTTTATAATGTATAACATCTGATCCGGTGAGTCATTTTTAATTATTCTTCATCACTTGTTTCTCTTTCCAAATACAGAATAGGGAAGGATTTTGAGGACGACTTGCAGTTCTTACTCCACGGTGTTTCAGAGCTCACTATCCCAAAGGGTACCGTATCTTCCGAGGTTCTGGTCCATGGCTCATTAGCGTTCCCCATTGGTACCACAGGGGGTGGACAGGCCTTCCTGGCTGGAGCCTACTATGGTAAAGGTCGGGTCATCGTAACTGGACACGAAGGTGTTCTGAGACCTAAGGTATAGAAACAATACAATTGTGTTTAAAGTTTTAAAAGTTTATAAAAAATAAATTATTTATCCCTTTCTTTTCCTCCACTTGACCAAAATCCAGGAAAATGCTTCATTTTGGAAGAATGCCCTTCACTGGCTGGATGAAGGCCGCAGAGGCGTTGTTGGCGTAGCAGTGAAAGATGGCATTAAGATAGCTAATGACTCAGGTCTGAAAATGGTAAAAACTGAATTCAAGAAAGACCTGAGTGTGTTTGTGTCCTCATCGAACCCCAAAGGGCACTGGGAAGAGATTCAGAACTTTGTAGCAGAAGGAGGAGGTCTTCTGATTGCTGGACATGTCTGGTGGTGGGCACAGAAGCACAAGGACAAAAATCCATTGACAGATTTTGGAGGTATTAGCACTCAAAGTTACTCAGGATTTCACATAAACCTAAAAAAAGCACATTCTAACTTACTATCAGTAAACGGGACAGATCTTAACTGTCGGAGTGAAATTTGCACAGATTATAGAATTAAAACTGTAGAATTTAGAAAGATTCAGTAACCTTGTAAAGTATATGCAAGCCAATACAATACAAACTCCTTAATAGAAGGCACCGTGCAAAATGTTCTAAATCAGGTTTTCGCAAGCTTATAAATATATAAACTTTATTAGCGATAAATAAGATTGTGAACTAAAGTGTGATTATGAGGGGGGCTCCCCCCATAGTGTGGTTATGTTTTTGTTGGTCGTAGTTTTTTTGAACAATCGAATGTCTTTCAGGGAACAAAATCCTGAGCCAAATGGGGCTGAGCCTGTTGAAGTCGACTATTAATGCAGGTTCACACAAGGTTCCTGATCCCAGCCAGGCCATCAAAGATACTTACCATTTCCGGCACCTTCTCCACCGCTTTGCTAAGCACGTAACCGTGAAGGAAAAACTCAGCAAAAATGAGGAGGAGCTTCTCAAAAAGCTGGGCAGCGATTGCTCCGTCTACTTGAACATGAAGGCTTATGACTGCTGCCACTACTCTCAGGTGTTGGCAACACTCACGGACATCTTAAAAAAGTGTGGCATGCCACAGGTAAGAAATACAGGTACACACTTTAGAATGTTTGCCTGAAAAAGCTAACAAATGAGCCAAGGTGGTTGATTTCAAACTTGTATCATGATGTCACAGTTTTTACAGAGCATATTTGGTCAGTGGTAACAAGCAATTCAAACTTTTATTTATTTCTTTCTGCCAAGGTGAGTGAGAAATGCCCCGTCAAAAGCCCTGAAGACCACCTACTTCTCAATATTGGGACAGAGGTTTATAAAGTCTGCCCAGATCCAGACGCCCTCCTGCCTTACCTCATCAAGGATAATCCACTCTTACCAGTTGTCTACAACCACAGGGTCCAGATGGACGTCAAAACAGCAGGTCTTTTTTTTTTTTTTAACAAACAATGCAATAACTTTATGTGTGTATGTATACAAATATATTCAATATACATATATATCTATGCTATGCTTATCAGGGGGGGAGGAGTGGATCAGCACGGGTCTCTACCTCTCTCCTGGTATGAAGACATATGTGGCCATACCAGCAGAAATCATCAACAAAGGGTGGCAGGTACTTCACACATTATTTAGCATCTCTTCTAAAGGCATGAGAGAAAAGCAATTTTCATGAGAGTGGGCAGACAGAGAACACTGTGCACTGAGAGTTGGCCAAAAACAGTTAGGTGCCAGAACCATATTTCCAAAATAAATCAAACAAAATTTCCTAAAGCCCTTGCTAATAAATATACATGCATATTTTAAAAAATCCAGCCCATCAAACAATATTCTTTTGGCTCCGAGTTCCTAGTGATCGTCTCATCAAGTGGTTGTCCCACATGCCAATCTTTGTGTTGAACTTGTTTAACGCAATGTGCATATGCTTGCTGGAAATGGGGACCTTGAGTGTTTTAGTATCCATTTGCTGTGGTTTTAGCCATTCCTTTAATCCTCTCACCATAGGTTTTCAAAATGGCCTAAACGAATCACTCTTTCATGCATATGAGGGGAAGAGAAAAGCCTCAGAAGAAATAATCAAGACCTGTCATGATTTTCTTTAGAGATCTGACCCACATGCAGTAAAGCACTCGGAGAACCAGGGTAAAAGTTTAACAGGTTTATTGAGGAGGGTAATGGGGGTTGGATTCAGGAAACTCAGTGTACTGGTGAACGGGAACTGGAGGAGGGAAGGGAAGAATCAGCTGTTAGTTCAGGTTCCGTGGGAAATTTGTAAGATGACTTGGAGAAACATGGAAAACAGGACGCACGTTAGTGGAGAAAAACTTTTCTTCCCAGAATCCAGTCCATGTGGGTTTATCCAGAGGAAGATGCTCGTTGGAGTGCGGATAGGTCTAGACTCTATTAGGTTCTGAGGAGCTATAGAGCGGACTGTCACTCCAAAATCCAGGAGGTCTTGAACGGAACTTGTGGAGGTAAATCCCCTGCTCAGTGTGAGACACAAACAATCCTTCCAAAGGGAGAAGGCCAAAATATCCAGCTTGCAGGATGACTTCCTTCCGAAAGGCAAAGGCAAAGACAAAAAAAAAAACACAGTTAGCCTCAGTGAAACAAAGACTCACTTAGACTAAGCTAATCTCAGCTTGGCTAGAGTACCCAACACAGGCAAACACTCTGGTGTTGAGGGAGTGACAGTCCACTGCTCAAATAGTCCTCAGTAATGAAACAACCAGCCGCAGGTGTGTGGGAGGACCAACGAGAACAGGACACCACCTGGTGGTGGTGTCCTGTTCTCTAACTGGATTCCTAACAAGACCAGCCTGGGGGGAAAAATGACCGCTATGAAACCCCTTATTGTACTGCATAACATTAATGGTTTGTTCCACCATGTTTTTTTCCCCCCTCCCCGTTTAGATTTGATCACTGCTGCTCTTTAAGGAGTGGAAATACTGTACAAAGCGAAGTTTCGTTTTGTATAAACTCTGTATATACAAAATGACAACAAATGTTGCCTAAATCTAAGTCATGTATACAGACATTCATACAAACAATTTTTGTTGTTATGTATCTCCAATTAGACAGGCGACTAGATGACTTGCAGAGACACACCCCTTATGCCCTCTAAACTAGTAAATAAATTCTGTATTTGTCATCTTTAATCTTGGTTTTACTCATTTAAAAATATGATAGATATAGTAAAAGATTTTTAGTAAATCATTGTGTTACAGAGATTATTGCGATAATTTTCTCTTTAAAGAATAGCTGGGTGGGAATGGGGAGGGCCATTACCTGGAGTTAACAACAACCATTACCTGTTTCTTTTTTTACCCTCTCCCTTTTTGATGTAATGACACTATTGCCTGCAGCACTTCCACAAGACTCTCAGAAGTACACATATAATGATTTTATGGAATTAGGAATATTACTAAATTTAACAGGATTTTAATCAGACGTTCACTTAAATCAGACTGTTGCTTTTTTGTCTTCAGAGTAATAATTCAGCCCCAAAAGAAGCTTGAAAGATACATACAAAGCTTTAACCTCTACTTGATTCTCCCCACAGATTCAGATCGGTTGTCAAACAGATCGACTGAAAGCTGCAGTGTTGAAGAGACCTCCAAACGCCCATGTACGCTTTCCTGTCACCTCTAAAATGACGCAGGTCTGGAACTTGTGGGGAGGACTGATTTACCTTGTGGCTCCACCAAATACTGAGGCAAAAGGATTAGAGGTTGTTGTGCAGATGGCTGTTCCTGCACCCTATTATAGATCAGGTGAGTGTAGAGGTTGAACAACAGGATTGCTCATAATGACTTTCACATATAAACATTTAACTTTGGCTTTTGGTTCAGGTGCATACAAGGAAAATAAACCCTTTAAAGGGTTAATAGAATGCAAAACCGAGTTTAGATTGTCATAGATGAATAACGATAGTTCAATGGGTAAAATGGACGTACAGAGAAGTTCAAACCCCATCGATGCCTTCTTCCGCTGCAAATCTCATGATTGGTGGTGCTGCACTGTAGTCGAATTTTGTAATTCCCCTGGACATTTTTTTGGGTATGAAAAGTAGGACATGTCCAGGAAAAAGAGGAAGTCTGGTCACCCTTCCATATCAAAGATTTCGATTTTTCAGTGAGTGGGTGCTTGTTGCTATGATGCGTCTTTGCTCAACAGCTTCGTTGTAAACCAACCAATCAGCGCACAGCTCATCTAAATATTCATGAGCAAACCATAAAAGGAAGAAAACCTGTTGTTTCACTCTTGGGCTATTTACCAGGCTTACATTATGGCTCATAGAACAGCAAATATGTCAGAATTGAAGGTGACTCTGAACGAGAGCAGCTACAGAGGCAGGTTGTAGGTTAAGAGGTTTATTGAAAACAACATTGTGGGTATGAACAGGAAGCTGTATGGTCTGGTCAGGTTCTTCTGGGCTTCTGCAGAGAAGATGGAGGAAACTGTTGTTGGAGGATTATGCTGGGCTGACACTCACTGTAGAGAGGCTGTGGTCCGATCTTGGGGGGAGTGTCCCCAGTGGTCCGAGTTTTGACCAGTACTCTCTCCCTGGTTGATGGTTCGAGGGTGGACAGGCAGGTGAGCGCAGGTAGGAGGGCTGAGCGGTGGAGAAAACCTGAGATCCCTCTCGGGTTCCTGGTTGTTAATCAGACAGGGATCCAAGGTCTATGGTTCCAGGCTGTGTCCAAGGGTCAGAAACAGGGGTTCTGCAAGAAAGATTCAGAGCAGGGTTTAGTCAAGGGTTTAGAATCTCTAGGACAAGGTTTGGGTTTGGTCTGTACTAAAGCAGTGGCGTCAACGAACTGACGCCCTCCTTCTGGTTCCAGCTCCTTAAGAAGGGTAGTGATCAGCTCAGATGAAGTGCACCTGCCTGTCCATCCCTGCTGAGGAGAGAGAAAACCTGGCCTGCACCCGGATGCAGCCCGGAGTGTGACAACATATGCCATTTTCAGCGCAACCAATGTTACACACCCTATTCAGAGACCTTAAGGACCAGCACCAAATACCCTATAGAATCATTCTAACACCCCTTTAAATGACTGGTCAACCAAACGGTTAACCATTTGCTCAACAAAATGCAGGTTGGGGGTTGACAAGGCGGTTAAAGGGTTAGAGTACTAACAATAATAAAGTTATTGCACTGTTGACCCTTGAAAATTTTTAACAAAGAAGATTTAGTGCATTTCATTTTCCCTTGTAGAAGAGGAATTCAAAAATGTTGTTAGTCAGAGCAGGTTCAAGCCCTAAATTAGTAGCTCTACCTCAGTAAATGTAACTATTTACTGCCCACCTTTGCAAATAATTAACAATTATCTGTGATTTCTTTTAAGCACAGTCAATTAAATGTGGCTGTCCAGTTCTGTTCCAAAATGCTGGTAGTGATGCCAGTATTCTTAAGAAGATGGCCTTAAAAGAATTAGAAATAAAATCTCATAATTAAGTATGGGTAAATTCACTTCAGAATAATTTCATTGATCCTAAAGGGAAATAAATTTTTAATTTAGACAACATGCATAATTATTAACAGCTTTTAGTGGGAAGGTTCTCCTGTAACCATTTGTCTTTCAGCAGATCTAGAGAAACCTTTTGACTGAAGAAAGTCAGTTTTTACTCAACAATCTTCTGCAATGTCTATAATATTATTTTATGAAGAATTCTTCTCTGTGACTCAAGAGGAATTCCCAGTACAGGGTCAACCTTTTGCATCAGCTTGTTGAGCTTCTTTAGGTCTTTTGCCCTGATATTGCTATTCACATCCAGAATCAGATGTTTTTTTCCACACGATGCCAAAAAGTTGTTCACCAGCCCCTGTACTCAGCTTCTTGTCCATCTCTGATGAGCCCAACAACTGCAGAGTCCTCCAAGTATTTCTGCAGATGACAGATTTTGTCTTGTTCTGGAAGTTGGAAGATCTAGAAGATCTACAGAACATAAAGCAATAGTCTGAGTATTGTTCCTATAAGACTGACTACCTGGGTAGGCACTTGACCCTTCACTCTCACTCACACTGGAGTCTGTTTTGGTAGTCTTTGATCGAGGCCATTGTTGATGCCTCCACTGAGTCTAGAACTTATGACAAAGTCAGTAAGGTTACATTGCATTAAATGCACTAAATAAATCAAAGAACATGGTCTTTACAGGGCTGTCTGCCTTGTCAAAATGACAGTGCCTTTGTTGAAGCAGGTGTAGGATGGCATCTTCAACACCAACTCCATGGCAATAAGTACACAGCAGGTGGCCATGATAGTTGGTTGTGTGGCTGGTTATGTCGGTTTAGCAAGAGGAACTGTCTTCTGGATGAGGCTAAGGGTGAAAGCATACTGCAGAATCCCATAAAACTGAAGTGCACATGCCTTTAGGAGTCTTGGGCTGACACTATTTGGACCTTGTGACTTATTTTAATGAAATCTTTCTAGGGGACTCTTGACTACTAGAGATGAATACAGTAGATGGGAGGAGGGGGCAAAAGGGGCAGCACCACCTTCTGTTTTGATTGAGAAGTGACTGAATATGTTCCTCAAGAAACATCATGCTTCCTAACAAGTAGCACCCACAGTAAGCTTGATGATCTGGAGGTTGACTCTACTAGTTACCATCAGCCATTGCCAAGTAATTGCCTTTTCTTTGTCTTTAGTAAAGCAAGATTGAAAGATGTTAATAATTTTGCCGTAAAACATGTACTGAAGAAAGAACACGTTTTTTTATTCATACAATAAGAGCCATTGTTCTCTTATTTACGTTCTTTCACAAATGTTACTCATTTTTGCCTGGTTGGATCTTTGGAAAAAGTCGCTGATGTAAAAGCATTCATAGACTGTTTTTTGTACTGGGAAGTTTTTCTGAAATGAACACTCGTGCTCGTACTCGTCGTCTCCCGCTTTATCCGAAACCGGGTCGCGGGGGCGGCAGACTAAGCAGAGACTTCCAGACTTCACTCTCTGCAGACACCTCCTCCAGCTCTGTTGGGGGAAGCCCTAGGCGCTCCCAGGCCAGCCGAGAGACATAGTCTCTCCAGCGTGTCCTGTGTCGTCCTCTGGGCCTCCTCCCGGTGGGACGTGCCTGGAACACCTCCCGAGGGAGGCGTCCAGGGGGCATCCGAAGAAGATGTCCGAGCCATCTCAACTGACTCCTCTCGATGTGGAGGAGAACCGGCTCTACACTGAGCCTCTCCCGAATGACTGAGCTCCTGAAATGTGAACAAGAACACATTTTGAAGTTGGAATTCAAACTGGATAAAATGCCTCTCACCAAGGACCCAAAAGTTGTACACATTGCAGTTATTGCTCGTTGAATTTGAAAGTTGCTGACATCAGCAATTAATTAAGATGGAGGGTCGGTATCTAATCCAAAACACGTACTACTGTAAAATTCATTAAGTCTTTGAACTCATAGCATGGAAAGAAATATATCACTTTGGTAACTACAGTTAGCAACAACAAAAAAATACAGTTTGATCAGTTTTCTGATTTGCAACAAGATCTCTAAACTCCGATATGCCATCAATCAGAGAGCTGAGTCAAAAAGCGAAGCTCTCGATTTACCGGTCGATCTACGTTCCTACCCTCATCTATGGTCATGAACTCTGGGTCATGACCGAAAGAACGAGATCGCGGATACAAGCGGCCGAAATGGGTTTCCTCCGTAGGGTGGCTGGGCTCTCCCTTAGAGATAGGGTGAGAAGCTCGGTCATCCGGGAGGGACTCGGAGTAGAGCCGCTGCTCCTCCACGTCGAGAGGAGCCAGTTGAGGTGGCTTGGGCATCTGTTTAGGATGCCTCCTGGACGCCTCCCTGGTGAGGTGTTCCGGGCACGTCCCACCGGGGGGAGGCCCCGGGGAAGACCCAGGACACGCTGGAGAGACTATGTTTCTCGGCTGGCCTGGGAACGCCTTGGGGTTCCTCCTGAAGAGCTGGAAGAAGTGGCTGGGGAGAGGGAAGTCTGGGCCTCCCTTCTTAAGCTGCTGCCCCCGCGACCCGACCCCGGATAAGCGGAGGAAGATGGATGGATGGATATGACAATGACTCAAATTAAAATCATTCCTCAGCAGTAGCAAACTGTTTTTTCATTTGTTATAAATAATTTTACTAAATGTAAGCTTGTTACTTCATACTTTTCAGGTGTAACAACAAACACTGACTGGTCCTCGTTGCGCTCGGCTCCTTCGCCTTGGGCGGAGCTGGAGTTTGATAACATCATCCTCACCGTACCTTCAGACGCGGTTAGAGAGCTGGAGAATCCTGAGGAGCTGGCAGCACTCTGGAATGACATCATGAAGGCCATCGCTGACCTGGCTGCCAAACCTCATAAATTCCCTCGTAAAGAGCGTTTTGTTGCCGACATTCAGATTTCTCATGGTTGGTAATTTTCTAGTTTCACAGATCATTTATCCCGATGAATCTCCTAAACAGTGCTGTGGAACTGCATGCTTTTATAAGCTTTTTTTCTGTTCAGGTTGGATGCATGCAGGGTATCCCATAATGGCTCATAAAGGTTCTGCAGCTGCATTGGTGAGCGTTAAAAATGCTAAGACCAAAGGCATGTGGGGACCCATCCATGAACTGGGACACAACCAACAGCGAGGCTGCTGGGAGATGCCCCCCAACACCACAGAGGCCACGTGTAACCTGTGGTCTGTTTATGTGCATGAAACGGTTTTTGGGATCAACAGGGACAAGGTAGAGAAAATCCATGCCTAAAATGGTGAAATACTAAAACAAATTCTTTTGCATAATTTAATAGCTTTATTATGGTTACTGTAGGCTCATTCAGCAATGGATTCTGCAAAACGAACTAAACGAGTCAAGGACTACATTGAAGGAGGCAGAAAGTTCAGCAGCTGGAGTGTGTGGACGGCCCTGGAGACATACATACAGGTAAGAGAATCATATCAGTTTAAAAACGGTGTGCTTCAAGGTCACATAGAATAAGAAAGACAATGAAAACTTTTCCCAATTATTGACAGTAATAATAAAGTGATTACCTGCAAATCTTACTAAAATGTAGTAATTTCACTATTACTAAATTCACTACTTTTCACTCCCCGTTGGTCAGGTAATTCTGTCTCCCCGCACGGTTCATGTGCCATCTTTGATATTTTTCACCACTGTCACAACAAATCTCATAATGCATTGCGAGGAAAGCTCTCACAAAGCATTCTGGGATATATCTGCTTGTCTAGTGACCATGGATGATAACCAGTTTTAAAGTTGCATTGTGGGAAATTTGAAGTCCACTAGTTTTTCATCCACAAGACACTCATTTAAAATGGCATAACCACTATATAGTGCCCTATATAGTGATTAGGGTTGATGTTTGGACACGGCCTATATCTTAAGAAAGAGCTGAACTTTAACCTAACAGAAAACTACATACAGTAAGTTTGCTTGGTCAGAAATCATGTGGATTAAATGGTTCACTAACGCTCTGTGTTTTGGTGTTTCTAGCTTCAGGAAAAGTTTGGCTGGGATGCGCTTAAGAAAGTGTTTGCAGCCTATCATAAGATGAAAAAGTTCCCTAAAGGCAACCCAGAGAAGATGAAGGTCTATGCTGAGACGTTCTCCAAGGCTGTGGGGATGAACCTGACTGGATTCTTCAAAGCCTGGGGGTGGACTATTGAACAGGCTACTGAAAAGCAACTATCCAGCCTGCCCGCCTGGACAGATCACCCCATGGTCTAACATCACTACCTGGACACCGAATCATTTCTGAGCATTGACCAGTTTTTAAGATGGGCTATAATCTATGTAAATTCAGCACTTTCTAGTTTATAATGTTAATTGTTTCCCAGGGAAGAGGAAAGAATATAAGATTACTGAGTAATGTAAAAGTCTAGCTTAATATTTTTTGGGTTGATAGAAAAATCAAGCCTTAGTTGGGTAACTTAAATACTTAGACAAATACATACACAGGAAGAACAGTTTTCAGGGTGTGGATAAATACTGTGTTGTCTGTATGAAGTATTAATATTGTCATGTACTTTTACTTCTCCATTTGTTGAAAAATTACTGTATGTTGTTTACTTGTTACACTCATTTATCACTGGGAGGATTTTATTTTATTGTCTATTTTATTTTCAGCAATACCACACTGTATGTAACACTGCTCTTAAAAACTAATATACCAAATCACTACAGTGTTAGTTGCTATATGGAAAAAAAAATAATTAAAAAGATCATAACCAATTGGCCTTCAGGATGTTTGAAACAAACGGCTCATTTTCTACCTGCAAAGCTATTAGTGTCAAAATCTTCTTGTTTTTTATTCTTTTACTCATCTCAGGTTCATGTTTCTGTAGTTTCTTTATTTTATTTAGGTTCTTTGGAACAGGTTACTCAGGTTTTTTTGTTTTTTTTTGTCATTTAAAGATTTTCAATTATGTTTTTTCTCTGTTATATAGTCACTTGGTTTCTTTTTTATGGTTCCCTAGTCACTGGTTTTAGGTTTATTGTTTACTGACCAGCTATTTGAATAAAAAAAAAATATTGATGTTGTTTTAAATTATGTTAGATATCTTCCCAGTGTTTTTTTTTATTTATTTTTTATTATGTTTTACTCCTACTCTACTCAATATCCTCTCCTCAGCTCACTGCCTACGTACAACTGGAACACTAACTGTAAGAAATACCTGAGAATGAAGGTTTTGGTAACGCTTACATTGGATGCAACATGGTGGAACCACAGCAAGAATGGATCTGTAAATGAATGCTTACCAATGTAAGAGTCTGAGTATGTAGAGAGGGCAATTTAACAAATGAGTTTAAGGAGTAATGGTGAGCAATGGCGGTGCTATCTGTGATAAATCTGATATTAAGAGCTGATCCAAGCTTTCATTTACACCAGCCATCCCCAAAGTCGTTCCTTGAGGGCCACTGTCCTGCAGGTTTTAGAGGCTTTCCTGCTCCTGCAAAGCTGATTTTCATTGATAGTTGATTAACCGGCTTTTGCTGAACTGCAATCATTATAATCAGCTGTGAGAAAGCAGAAAAACCTCTAAAGCCTGCAGGAGAGTGGCCCTCAAGGACCGACTTTGGGGATGCCTGATTTACACAATGTCTCTGTAGTATAAAATACCCATGAAAGAGATTGTATGTGAAACAATTTTTCTGTAGTATATTTTCAGTATATGGTTTAACTTAAGTACATTTTTCATAGTGATGCAGAGATAATTAAAGATGTTTCAAAATAATGCGCACTACCTAAAAAGTAGTGATCATAAGGAATAAATAATTCTTGTTGGAAAATAACGCGTCATTTGTCTTGTGTTATACAAAAAATGTCTAAGTCATAAATTAACAAGACATTAGATCGGTGTTTGTCATTTAAGCAGAATTTATTAGAGAACAGATACAATATTTGTCAATTATCTTTCTGCGCTGATCAGACAAGTTTTTGTATTAACTACTTAAGAACCAAATAAAATTCAGGGAGGTTTTCTGCCCACAGCTTATTTAAACAAGTAGACAGTTTTCCACAAAAAGAAGAATTGTTGGGATGAGGAATCTAGCTCCTTACAACAATTTCTAACATAAAAAAAAAAAAACAGCATCTAAGGTATCAGAAAGATAAGGCTCAGATCTAGCCTTCTCTGCTAGGTGAATACTTTTTTGCAATAAAGAAAAAAAAAAAAAACAAGCTTATATTCAGGTTATCAACAAGAGGAATATATCTATCTGTCACGCTTCATCCCCGCTGGGCTCGTGAAGGTGTTGGAGCCTATCTCCAGCTGTCTACAGCCAGAGTCTGACCCTGGACAGGTCGCCAGTCCATTGCAGGGCAACACAGAGACAAACCGGACAAACAACCATTCGCACTCACACCTAAGAAGAATTTAGAGAAGCCGGTTAACCTAAAAGTGATGTTTTTGGACTGTGGGAGGAAGACAGTACGTGGAGAGAACCCACGCATGCAAACTCCATGCAGAAAGAACCTGATCCAGGAATCATACCCAGAACCCTCTTGCTTCAAGGCAGCAGTGCTATCTGCTGCACCAATGAGCAGCCCTAGAGGAATATAGTGTTAAATATGTGTAAAATTGTGTAAAACAAGTGGAAAATGTGTCATTTGTTTCCTGTGTACATGCATTTAGCAGTCAATCTAAGTTTTAATCTTTGAGACTGAAAGTGCTCAAAGGAAGACTGCACAGATCTGGGCGTTAGGTTTCAGTTTTCCACATTATTCCTTTTTGCCTACTTTTTTGTTTTTGCAGTTCATCGGGTTTTTGTTTTCTTTATTTCTTATTGTTTTTATATTTTACCTGTCTTTACCTACTTTTTCTAATGATTATTTTTTTTTAAGGAGGTTTTCTAACTTTCCCTTTGCTTTTTTAATGTTAATAACCAGGTTTTATTGTTATCACCTGTGTTTCTCCAACGTTTGCACTTCTGCCCAGTTCTGCCTAAGCATCCACCCTGTGGTCACAAATCTCTGGATTCACTTACCTCTTGTCTCCGTGGCTGTTTTCTGCTTCTCTGTTTATCATTTATTAGAAATAATCAACTGAACATGCTTCATCCGAGCCTCTCTCTGTTATAGAGATCATTAAGCCCTGGCAAGTGCAGGGACTCGACAAGGGTAACTGATTTTAACAGCAGATAATACCTCAGATAATTCCTAAAAATGCATGTATAGGACCAGAAGGTTGGTAAACTAAAACACATAAAATAAGGCAGTTTCCAACCGTAATTATATATTTCTTAGAATATTTGAAAGGGTGCAGATATAGTGTAGTCTGCAGAAAAAGTGTTACGGTGAACAATAGTGAGTACGCCTCCTCTCCTGGTAACACATGGGGTCCCAAACACAGAGCAGTTTGGAGGGCATGTTTTTATATTTATGGTCCTGCTGCCAATTCTCCATCAAAAACATAAAATACAGGCAGTCTTTATTGAACAAGTCACCAAGTATGAAAGGTTAATGAGTGTGCATTCAGTTCGACACATGAATGTCACAATTCAGATTACTAGAACTAGTTGGATTCAGAAAAAGGTGCATTAAAACAACATGGCTGCACTTGAGATCATGAGAGAACCTATTTTAGAATAGAGCAAGAATAACCCTACTGCAAGCAGGAGGGAACTTTGTGTCACTTTTCCTTTTTGGGAAGAACAGTTTTTGCAAACATTCTGTTCTATTCATTTGTTATTCCTTTCTATTTAAATTAAATGAATATCCTCCTAAACACCAGCAATTTGTTATAGTTTGAAAACTGCAGAATACAAATATTGTATTCATTGACTAAAATTTTCTTAAATATTTTTCTCTCACTTTACAGTTACACATATTTAGGATAATGTGGTTTGTATGGAAAAAGTTGAATTATGAAAAATAAGACAGAGTGCTGGACCTAAGGAGCTAATAAAATGGATTTTAATAGGGCCCTTTAAACTAATAGCAAATTGTGGGATATCTTTTCACAACATAAACACTTTGACAGCAAAGAAACATCAACAGGAAGGTTTGTTTAGAACCAATAATTTATATATCCTTTATATATCATAGACTCAGTGGTGGATTAGATGTATAGGCTACCTATAAAATAATAAGATCTATACATAATTAAAACACACCAAACAATGCATTCTTTGAGGAGGAATAGGTTTTTAAGTGGCTGAGGCATATGACTCTAACCTGCAAGTATGAAAAACTCTTACATACAATGTAATTATTCTGGTTTAAAGCATTCCTGGAATCTTTTAAAGAGGCTATCTTCAAACTATCCTGCCTTCGCAAGACTTCTTTTCTCTTGCCATTCAGTACCTCAATATGTGAGTGAAGAGTTTCTACTTTATAAATCACTTGTGTTCAACCATAGCAGATGACGAGCCGAGCATTTGGGACTATTTTTATCTCATAAATATCTTGTATACCATTTATTTTCTTAAAAGAGTTAATGATGTAATAGTTCTGGGAATATTTGGACTCCATTTACATACTTTACTAAGGAGGTTCCACATTTCACTCCTACATGTCGTGCCACTCCTTTGTTAGACTAGCATTGAGTATACTCCAACTGCTTCACTTATATTACCTCCAGACCAAGTAGCCACCACCTCCACTGAAATGAATACAAAGCCTGTAAATGCGGATATTCACATGGCAATATGGGAGGAGATATAATAAAATGTGTCTGACTAACTCAAACAAAGTAACAATGATTAACTAGTTGAACAATAATTCCCAACTAATGATTCCCAATATGTTAATTATAAGAAAAACAAAATGTCTCTAAAGTTATGGCTACTGTAATGACACCTTATAAAGTTAATAATCAACGCTTGTCAGCCACAGCTAAAATAATGTTCTGTTTAATAATTATTATGGAATATGGCACATAAATAATAATGTGCATGATTGGTTGAAATGACAGAAATATTACTGAAATTATTAAATAAAATTATTTGGTGATGCTAGGTAGACACCAAATAATCCTGGCTGTACAGATCCATAAAGAGATATTGCTAAAGAATAATATATGGTTATGAAAAACAATTTTCAACAAGTTTTCTGTATTTTTTCTTCCTCTAACAAATGTCATGTGATGTTTTCAGCTCTAAATTAGTTTTATCAGTAGAACTGAAATTAATGTTTCTTTTTTTCCCCTTACAAATTCATGACTCTTATTATAACAAAAGTATACACATATATATATTTTTTTACCCCTTTTAAGGGGTAAAATATCAATATCAATAACCCAATGAAAATCAATGTATTATTTTAATGCAAGTTTTCATTCATTTTAAAACGTTAGAAATGGCAATGTTGTTTTTTTAAATGACAAATCTCATACGGTACATATATTGAATATATGATATATTTTTTTATTCAAAAAAAAAAAAAAGGCCATTCAATATTTGGAGTTCTAAACAAGCTTTACTTTGCCCCTTTTACAGTACAGAGCTGGTAATAATACCTGCTGCTCTGCTGCATCTAATACGAAGCACACTCTCTCAGTCAAATATACAAATATACTCGCCAGAACTAAAAATTGAGCAATTGCCTATTAGAGATAAAAAATGTAACAATAATTTTATAGGGACGGCCTTTAAATGTAAAATCTTTCCGAATTTTAATGGAATGACAAACATTCAGATTCAGGTAATGTAGGAAAATATTTAAAATGTTTAAAATGGTAAATTCCACTCCAAAGTAAAAGAAATACAATATAAAATTATTAATAGTTATTTTCCAACAGCAAAAACTCTTAAGAAAAGATTTGGATTTGAGGTGGCTGCCTGCATATTTTGCCTTGAAGAACCAGAAACTATTGAACATCTCTTCTATTCGTGTAGAGTCACAGGTCGCTTTTGGCAGAACCTGCATATTTGGTTAAGTAACAAAATAGATAATATAACACCTTTTGAGATTAATCAAATATTAACATACAAGAATGACATTCTGAAGGACTTATCTGACATGGTCAATATTGTTATAAGTATGAGAAGGTATATGCATGTATGTAAATGGAAAAATCAAAAACCTTCATTCAATTCAATTCGAATCAGTTTAT